GATTTTTGAAAGCTTGCAGGGGGAAGCTGCAACCCTGTGAACAGCCATCAGTGCTACCAGATGGCCAGGTCAGCTCCAGCACTGCTCATAGACTCTGAGACTGAGCCCAGCACTCCCAGAAGCACCTAAGTACTGGGACTGGCCTCACTCTTGTACTTAAGGCTGTATTCTTGACAGTAGTCAGAAGCAGAGAAATTCTAGTGTTGATTTCCAAATGAAAATGTCCTCTTTTGCCACACTCCTCAGCTTTAAGAGAACATTTCAGAGATGTAAGGAAGCCTTCTGGTTCCAGCTGCATTTGCTTCCATTGTGACCTCTTTCAGATATTGTTCAGTCTTGATTAGGAATGTTCACTGTTCAATGTGCAGACCTCTAATTTACAAGGGGCTGGGACTGTGCTTAATCTGCAGAGAGAAAAAATGCTTCAGAAAAGGAAAGTTCCCCCATGAGAAAGTTCTGGAGTGGAAGTAATGACCAAATCACTTGGAAATAAAAAAAAACACAGTGCAGGGAAGTGCAAGCCATGTTGTGGCCTAGAAAGAGGGAAGTTTAGTTGAGGAAACTAAACACTTGCAACTGGAAGTATATTTTGAGCAGGGAGTATATTATAAACTCCCTTTCACAATTGCCTCACCTGTTGGGCTTTATTTCAGATCTCAGTGGTTTTATGAGATGAAACCATTTTCTCTCTTTTCATTTAATTCACACATAAGTTTAAAGAAGGGACAAAGCACATTTAGGGATGGGGGTCTCAGAAGAGATGGATGATCTGGAACAGGACTAGATCCATCCTCCCCTGGCATCCTCCCTGCAAATCAGCCCTTGAAGGGCTGAACCTTGTGACCTTTCTCTTTACAATATACAGTCTGAGATATAACTGTATATTTTTAGGGAGCATAGTCTTAAACTAATCCTGGCATGTTGCCCTTTTATGTTCATTTTGTCAGGCAGGCTTTTGGACAGAAAGGTCCTAGAGAGCCTGCTTTAGAAAGGTGTCATCATTAGTGCAAATTCTGGTATGTTTTTTCCGGCAAGAAAGTGCCAACCAGCACAGTCCTGAACTCAAGATGCCCTGGCAGAAGAAATGAAACACAGTTGCCTACACATGTGAGGCTGTTGAGGCATCTGAAACCTACTGCTAAAAACGAATGTCAACAAAATCCCCCAAGTGCTTCATTTTCCTCTAATACAGATGCATACAGAAGCAAACAATGTCTTGGGGCTGCAGCATCCTCCTCAAATACTGTGGGTTAGATTTAAAAGGATCTAAACCTGAGACCCAAGTGGCATGTTAGATTGTGCCTTTGGTCCCCTTCAGAGCACCTGGCACCCCAGGAGGTCATGAGGCCAAATTAATTAGGACACTGGGAAGCTGTCAGGTGCTAGAGGAATTAGTTATGATTGTGAAAATCCCTGTTCTTCATTTTCTGCCCTGTTCTGTTCTGTCATGAGGATTGATATCTATTGATCAGTTGGATACCAGCAGCTGACAACTAGTCCTCAGTATCTGCTTTTTGTGTAGCATCCCTTTATGACACGCATTTTAAAAATACCCTTATATGCATTGCAGGTTTTTTTAATATTAATTTAAATAACTGAATTACATTTATTTAGCCAAAAGCATTTTGCAAGACTTATCTTGCTCAGCATTACAGATGTAGGTGTGAAAAACTCCCATGAAGAGCAGCTGATTATGAGAAGCTTCCCTGGTGCACTATAAACACAGAGAGGGCCGCAGGAACTGATGGCTTGTGCTACCAGGCACTAAGGGGAATTCAGAAAATGCCAGGGGTGCTGGCGGAATCTCATTTCCCTGACCGGGCCGAAGCAATGCAAAGCTCTTTACCGCAGCTATATACAGCAAAGTGAGATGGGGATGGACGCTGGTGCAGAAGCCAGGGTAAACGAGGGCGAGCGGATCATCCGAGTATCTGTCCGCAGAGCTTGCAGCTGGGTTGCGTGGTCAGAGCTCCCCCTCCTGATAGCTCAGGACGTGACCTCCACTTTTACCCTCAGTGGGTATGGAAGCGTCGGCAGGACCCTTGCCCGTGTTTCTCAGCTCTCCAGGAAGCGGCTGATTTTACATTCAAACTCCTCTCTGGTCTAACAGCTAGAAAACATAGAAAGCAATTACATGAGTGTTTAATTAAATTCCACCTAGCGGTGGTGTTGCTTACTCTCCAGAAAAGAGCCTAACATTTCTATTTCTCTCATAAACTGGATTTTTCTTCCAGTCTGACAAGGCAATCAATACACTACATCCTTTCATTTGGGGATTGGTAGACTTTCATTTTCTTTTCCTTGTGCTGGTGATCCCTGTGTAATTGCATTTAGCAATGCCACTGTGCTAGGCTGGCTGGAAGGGAAAATCCTCACACTTGAACTAATCTGGGGAACCAGTTCCTGAGGAACAGCCAAACACCTCCTGAAGCATCTTGGCATAGTAAGACTTTTCTAATTTGGCTTAACATTTCATAGAAGCTTTGAACAAAATGTGTGTGTCTCTGGGGCTGCAGACCCAGAGGGAGCACCCAGCTTGTCACCATTTATTTCATCCTCTGGTTTCATTTGGATTTCAATTAGACTCATCATGGGGGTAGAGAAACAAACCAAAAAACCAAAATAACAAAAGCCAAAGATATATCCTACAGCCATTGCATTTTGCAATCTAATTACTTTAACGTGTAGGGATGGGGGAAGGGGCTATTACTTACAGTACCGGAAAGCTTTCACGAAATAACACAGAATTATTAAACTTTTCAGAAAGAATCCACTCTGCAGTTCCCACTGCACATTCACCTGGGTGATTTTCCCTTTTCCTGTGACCAAGAATCACTTTGTATTACACTTTCTTGCCTATAAAAGAAGCCCTTGTTCACAGCTGCCCTGAGGTGCTCATAATGTTATTGGTTCTGTGCTAAGAAGTTGGGGTTGCTGTGAATTCCTGCCTTGTGGCTCTCTGGTTCACAAAAGTAAACACATTTGCTGAGTTAGCTAGGCTTTACGGTGCCCAAAATCCCATGGGGAATAAAACGTCCTATCGGAGGAAGCTTTGAAACCTTAGTTGCTCTACAACACTTTTCTTGGTCCGGAGAGCGCACAAAGCATGCTTCTGTGCTGTATTTACTGCTTTTTTTTGTGGACCCAGGCCATAAGAGCTGCATTGAGCCTTGGCAGAAGGGAAACGTGCAGGATGCAATGGGGAAAAAGAAAAAAATCAGAGCTTTTTGCTCCTTACTGAGTCCCTTGTGCCCCACACAGAGGTGATTGCCTGGAGATGAAAAAACACTCATGGGTGAAGGGAGAAGCAGCCAAAGAAGTAACTTTCCTGGCCCAGATGCACTTACTGAAAAATAAACAGGTAAAGCCAAGGCTGGCTGGCGCACAGGATGCCTGTGGCATCAATGTCCCTGCCACCGCAGCAGTTCAGCCACTGAGTGCTATAGGAACCACTCATCAAGATGCTTAGAGGCAGGCGACATGCTGCAGGTATGTCCCTGGACACACTGCCTGCTCTGCCACCATAGCAGCTTTCTTCATTGAACACCCATAAGCAAAAGAGCCTTTGAAAAATGCCTGTTTCTGACACAGCTTTCAAATGTATTTCCTTCATTTTCTTCCAGCCCTAATTAAATCCAGGTGAGATCTGCTGGGCCCTAGTCTGGGGTTTGTGGTGGGGGAGTGTTCAGGCAGGATGAACCAGCCAAGCACCAGTTAATTTAGCTGAGAAGGTGCTGTCCAATTAAAAACCATAAGCAGTAGTTTGAGATTTATTCCTGTTGTTTTTTTGGAGGGAGGGAGAGAAAGAGGGAGGGTGCATTTTGCTGAGCCCAGGTTTCTCCAGCACAGCTCTTGCAAGAGGTGGGGGTACCTGGGAGATGGTTCCTGGAGAAAGTCCCTGTCTAGAAAGATTACCCCCTGCCCTGAAGCCCTCTCCCTGTGCAGAACACATGGGACAACCTCCTGGGGTGGAGAGGACCAGAGGGGATGCTGTTTGCCAGAGGTATGGCCAAAAGTGACAACCATGTCCCTTGCATGCCAGTGCAAGCTGGCTCCCCAGAGGTTGGACTGTCCTCTCCTTCCTCGCACGCACACTGCGGCTGTAGCTGGGGGGTGGTATGGACAGCTGGCACGGGATTATCCTGGGAAGAAGGGTGTTACCGATGCAGTTTCCATGCCATGCGTGCTGTGGGAAAGCAGTAACACATCTGACAGCTCACCCCCACTCCACAAGTCATGCATGTGCTCAGGACACATCCCAGCTGCTCATCATTTCTAATTGTGGTGGATAGCTAATTATGCTCGTCTGCTCACACACACACAAAGCACATGCAAGCAGGCAGCATAACTGGCTGCTAATAATGAAAAGCCCTTGCTGCCTTAGGCTCCGTAACCTGAAATTAAATTCTACATCAGCTGCAGCTGATTGCAGAGCAAGGCATGGGATGGCTGCAGAGCAAATCACAGCTCAGCACTCGAGACTTCTGCACTCACTCCTAATGCCCATGTCATGTTGCCATCAGACACGTTCCAGAAGTCCTCATTTTCTAGGCATGAAAACATTTTAACAATAAACAGAAATTCTTCTGATTACATGGTTATATTTGGCTGCTGAAAGCAGACTCTTATTAAGCTAGGCAGAAAGCAATTAATGTCATGTAGAGAGCAGTCTTCCACATGGCAAAAGCTGTACTAGTATGTCTTTCATACCTCCAGCAGCTGGGACAATGAGTTAAGGCTCCAAGTTTGCGAAACCTTATTAAGACACTTGCGGTAAGCATGTGAGCAGCTTCACTAAAATTAGAGCCTGACGAAAATCTGGCTGTAATGAATTCTGTGAAGGTTTTAGCTCTGAATTTAGTGGGGACAGTGTATCTGTAGGTTTCAAAAGCTTTTATTCTTGTTTCACTCTTTCCCACCACTGGCAATCTGGATGGCTACTTCTTCACTGGTGTGCTGGACATGTGTTTTCACACCCGATTGAGATGGAAGATCTTCACCAACCAAAACCTTTGAACTTCTTTATTTATATAATTTTTCCAAAGGATTCTTGAGGCTATTCTCACAGGTCTGTAGCACGCTGCAGCTCCTAAAAAGAGGAAAAAACAACATAATGAGATTGAGCCACAAATTGCTTCACAATTATTTTTACCACCTAATTTGGTGCACAAGGCTAGAGGCTTGCTTTTTGCATGCTGTAATCCTGCCACAAACTCCGGAACAGCCCAAAAGGCCAAAGAAAACAGCAAGATATTCATTATCATCTCTTTCATGTTGCAGCTGTGACAGAGGCTCTGGAGAATTTGCCCAGTATATTTGCAAATGCCTGCTTGCCTCTATATTAGCTCAACTAGAGAACTGCTGCTGAGGATGGTGTTCCTCCTACTGCCCTACTTCCATGCAGCAAGCACAGCTGTACCACCCAGGAAGTGCAATCAGGACCAACTTTTATGGGATTCTCCATCCAGGCTTGCTGTCTGCCTGCTGATGGTGTGCTTGGGATGGGGAGAAACAATCCCACCACAACTCAGACTGGAGTCACTCATGATCAGCAAGCCAAAGGCTCAGGATGTTCCAGGATTTATAGATTTTTGCAGTGAATTATGGTGCTCATTGAGGAGACAGGGAAGTTACAGTAAAACCACTAACTCCACAATGAAAGGGCTTTTATACACTCTGTTGCAGTAGTGGTTATGGCTGCCAATTTTGCACAATTCGCTTTCAAGCACAAGAGCAGTACAAACTGGTTTAAGATGATTTCTGAATGATGAATGCAAACTTGAAAGGTTTCCAGTCTGACATAATTAACTCTGTGTTAACGTGCAATACACAATGGTCTATATGTATCTCAATGGGAATCTCAGTGGGGCTTTGTGGGCTCCATTCCAAGTAACCTCCTCTGGGAGTCACGCTTAGAGTCCTACAGGCTGACATACAGATAGATCCCATATTCATTCCTGTATTATTTCTGTGCAGGATCAGATGCAAGAAATCCAGGGCCATATTCACTGGTGTAGCAGCACACAATTGAATTCCACTCTAGTGAACACAGCCCATTTTATTTTCTCTTCTTGGCCTGGTGTATTTTGCTTTGGCTAATGTATGCACACCTTAATCTTTCATGATTAAGAGACAGATGACTCCAAAGAACTCCCTGCAGCCTTAAACAAAGATACATTTTCAATAAGTGATGTCAGGGAAGGGAGACTCAACCAGTTGTCCTGAGCAAAGGCCGAATTGAATGAAGAATTCCTTTATTTATTCCCACGCATTCTGAGATTTCACCTAGCCCTCAAAATGAACTCTAATCCTCTATAGTGATTGTCCTGCAAAGACCGCAACAACCAGTACTGTTATTGGGTGGATAATTACACAGGTTCAACATTCACATCATCTGATCAGCTTTTGGATACCTCAGCATCAGATACCCTGTCAATGAGCAGAGGATAAGTGCATTCAGGAAAAAACCTCTACTAAACAGTTCTTGGTCAAGAGTTAAAACTTCTCTCCAAAGCTCAGAGCTATTTGACACAGGGATTTTCACCTGGGCTCATTTCCAATCAGCATGATAGCTGCACTGGTTCTGCACTACTGTGCTGCTCTTAGCCCTGGGGTCATGACAGACAGCTGCAATTTGCTTCATGGGAAAGAGTTGGTGAAATGCTGGCAAATGAAAGCAGCTCTCATCACAGCCAGCAAGTCTTCCTCCCAAAACCAGCATCTTCAGCCCATGGGATGGAGGGGGAATATCTTGTTAAGGTTATGGGCAGCTCCACTTCCCCATTTGGTTTTCACTGCCAAATGTCTGGGCTGGAGGCAAAGGCAGCTATGAAGGGGCTGTTAAAATGACTTAGAGAAGCAAAAACAAGGGTACAAAGAAGTATGCTGCAGATAGGCAGCTTCAAAGGTATGAAGATAACCGTGGCTGGACACATCCCAGGTGGAGCGAGTTGGTCTTCACAGAGCTAAGCCTTGGATCAAAGGAGATCTCAAACCTACAAGACCCTGGAAGGCAGAGTAGGTTTGGGTGAGCAGTGCTGAAGGTGGTGGGTGGCAGCAAAAAGAGATTGAGAGTGAAAGAGGATTCCTTTTGACATAGTCAGGGTAGGTCACGAACAGATGAGTTTGTTACTGCAAGCAGTTAGCTGCCTCATATATAGCAAGAGAAGGTTAAGTTTGTGCAGAAGGTGTAGGATGCATTTTTACTTCAGGAAGCAAGGTTTATATGAGGATACAGCTTGCTGGTTTGTCTCCACCTTCAAGCCTTTGAACCAGCTTGCCAACTCTAACCACATTCAGAAGAGGTAGATGCCTCCAAGATAATGCTCCTGCTGCTTTGTTTCTCACTGAACAGACAAAGAAAAATTCATCACCTGCACAAAGAGGAGGGAAACCCAACCAAGCACCTCTGAAGACAGAAAGAGAGGAGAAATGTCTCTATCTGTTCCTATTAGCCGTTGGCTGGCTAGCAGATCAGCTTGCCCTTATTTCCCACACATTAATAAGGAATGGATGAATCTGAACTGTTTGCCCTCTGCAATAGCCCTAGTAAAGAAAGAATGGGGACTTGAGACCTCTTGTCAGAGAAAAGGATGTTCTAGCAATTAAGACATTCACTTAGAGTGTAAGAAAACCATGACCAGCCTCTCTGCCACAGATTTCCTAGGTGGACTTGTGCACATTGCCTGCTGTCTGCTGGCTTCCCATCTGTTGAACATCCCCACCTCAAAATCATCAAGAAATCACTACAACCCTTTCTGATCATATTTGAGGTCTTTGGGCTGATTCGGTTGAGACAACAAAACTGGCAATGCATGTAGGCATATTGATACAATCAAAGTTTTACTAAAAACATACAGTTGTAATCCCAGAACTCACTTCATGCATCTCTTTTGCCCAGAAGTACTATCCTCTTCCAGCTATCTTGCAGCCCCACAGGAGAGATCCCCTATTTTTTTTCAGAGCTATAGGGCCGATGCACTTTCATCTGCATCCCCAGCTTCCTGATGGGTCTCCCTATCTGCTTTCACGTTTTTCTTATAACTGCTCCTTCCTTATCAACCCCATTCGCAAAGGTCATATGTAACCATGCTGTCACCAGAAATCTATTTAAACAAACAACACCTGGTGAAAGCCCTTCTTACACACGCATTACTCATGAGGAGAGGTCGGGACCATCTCAAATACCCAGCTCCCTTGGGGATCAGTTACTTTTTCCAGACCAGGTTTGTAGGAAGCAATTGATATAATTTGAAAAAGCTCATTTTTTTTTTATAAACTCCCCTTTTTTTTCCAGGAACAAACCCTTCCTCAGGCTTGAAACCAGTATTGCAAACAACAAAAGCTGAGCACTTCTTGATCTGACACTGGCAGGTGGCTGGCTGGGAAGGAGAGCTCTTCCACAGTTGGGAACCTGTCTTCCTATCATGTCTAATGTCAGAAACGAAAATACCTTGGGCTTCAGCCCGATTTCTAATTCCTGGGTGTGGTGCCGTGAACTGCAGCCCCAGTGGGGATGTGTGAAAAGAGCAGCCAGGGCTTATGTAAACCCCCGTCTGCAGAAGACAGGTCTCCTTTGTAGACCCACTTGGGAGCATAGCATGACTAGTGCCAAATCCCACTTCTCCTCAGATGCTTGAGGACCCTGTTAATGCAGCAGGGTTGTTTGCACAGACCAGCAGGAAGTAGCCTTTGGCCAGTAAGAGGAATTATTACCACTCCCTAAGGACCCTTGCAGTGTGGTTTCTGGCCTTTCTCCACTCTCCTTTTTTGTTTAAAGTAATCTCCATCGGCACTTGCTTTCCATCCTCCCTCCGAGCACCACAGCCAGCAGCCACAGACATGCTAACAGCCCCATCAGCAACTCAGTGCTGGTCCCACCAACCCTGTCCCATCCCACTGAATTCAAAGAAAAGCAGCAAAACAGTATGCACACATGCTTTACAATGAAGCTACTCAGAATAACGTAAAACCATTGGCAGTGCCTCTTTTACCAACTCCAAGCTCAGAGAATAAAATGAACATAGATGTTCTCCACTTTGTTTGCAGAAGAACTGGTTTAAGTTTGACCCAGGTGAAGCCTGGCTAAGTCTTGCAGCTCTTTTCCCAAGCCCAAAGGACAATCACCTTTGGGTCTCTTAATGTCATAACTTAGCTCCTCTATAGCCATTACCCTACTACCAAAAAACCACCCTCCAGACAACTCATCTTGGTATGATACCAAATATAGCTTTCTGGATGCATGAAGATTCAACAGTTTGGCAAGGACTTAAAGCCCTCCAGCTCCAGGTCCATGGCCATCTGTGAACTTGCTCAAGGTGGCACAGCAAAGAGCAAATGGGGTAGGGAAGCAGCAGCTTTGGCCAGGGAGGACTTGCTTAACCAGCATATGTTCTCCTAAATACATTTCTGCTAAGGCTGCTCTCAGGAATTAAAGCCAGCAGCATCTCCACTTTATTAAAAATTCTGACAACACATCCAAAAGCCGAGGTTTTGTCAGATCTTCAAAGATTTGTCTAAACTACTGAAAAGCAGTTGTATTTTTTGTTACTGGAAGGTAACTAAGGGCCAGCAGCCCTCTTCAGGTAAACAATGCAGCCAAGATGGGGGACTTGAGTTTTACAGTGGGTAAACTCACCAAGGTCAATGCTGTGCTCCCACTTGAAGTTGACCTCTGCAAATTTATCTCACAGGGTGCTTTAGTTTTACTACCTCTTTTTTACCTCAGGATATTGGATGAACATTGGTTCCCCTGGGGTTGGAAAAGGGATTTAAAAAATTTAGCAGTAAAGACAAGACCAAACAATCCTCTTCAAGGGGAAAATACCTCTACAGGGGCTAAAATAGTAGTTCTTTGTATTAGTTGACCAATACAAATGTATATGCTTCTCCCCACTGGCAGAAAACAGTGTAAAACAAACAAACAAGCCTGCACCCTCTAGGAAATACTATCACCAGTAAAAATGCATCACTAGGAAAGTGTGTTTGGTGTATATGAACCTACCAGCTCTTTCACAGCAGAGCTATGGAGAAGGAAATGCTTACAATGCCATCAAATTAACAACATTTTTGCAGGAGATATTCTGTGCCTAGTAAAAGCCCAAATACAAAAACACAGTCTTGAATTTCGGGCCAATAAAATTAATGTGAAATTGGAAAAAAAACAAAGTGCTTGCTGTTTACAAAATTACATTATGCTTTGTTATGAGTAACCAAACAATGAGAGTAATTTCTTTCTAATTTTTTTCTAAGGGCCCTGTCTCCAACACAAGACTGCTTAATATCACCTAAGCATTAAATATTAAAAGCATACACTGGGTTGAAAAGTGAGCTAAATCACATTTTGCCCTCTGCCATGCACATATAAATACCAATTGATACAGCTGAAATTAGGGAGTTGTTGGGTGCTTTCAAAAGCAGCTGTAGAGACTTTGACTCACCAATATTTTAAGAGTGAACAAGAAAGGAATGTAGATGTTCAGTCTGTGCCTTAAGGTTTTGAAACACAAGCAGTGAGTTGTGGAAGAGGTTGTAGGAATTTTATCTACCACTATCAATTACACCTCCCCTTCCAATGAAACAGACAACAAGTTTAGGTAATAGTGTCTTTACCGTACTGATTCTTGAATTTTCAGTAAGACATTTCCAAATTTAAATAATTTATTAATTTCACCTGAGCAAAAGAAATAAGGGTTAAGGAGAGCACAGAACTCCCAGCAAAGTTTTCCCTTTCCTTTCACTTTCTTGCATAAAAAGCCTATCTTTTTTTCACAGAGATTTTCAAACAACAAAATAGTACAAATATAACATGAATCTGTGATGTAGGTGGGGCAGGAAGTTCTATTATCTTCAGCTGATAAAAATGAGCATAAAATAGCAGCAATCTCTGTGGATTTACATAGCTGTATATCTACCCTCTGAGAATCCATACCCTCCCTTCTTTCTGGAAAATCTCCTTAGGCTCAGAATGTACATCATCTAGAAACAAAGACAGCGCAAGCCCCTTATTTTAGCTTTTGTGTCATTTAAGGAATGAGAACACTTTCTTTAATAGGGTGTTGGCTGGCTATTTACTGAAGAAATTGTTTCTTGCTGGAGGTCATTTTCAACCTCACGGTGAGATCTGCTTTAAGGAGACTGCTTTGTGCAATCAGAGCAATGTGAGGAAGGTATAAAGAAACAGACTTTCTGAAAGGTGTTTTTTTTTCACAGAGGAAGTTGCTTTAACCTAGATATCTACTCAGAAAATACGTTTTCTGTTCCTAGGTTGTTTGACTTTCAGAGAACAATAAATTCCCAAGAGTTCTTGCAAAGATCAGTCATGCCTCTTTGTTTTAATGGCATATTTTGAAGTTTTGCCTCTAGAATATTGATAAGAATCAAAGTAACTTTTGATATATGGTGTTAGATATGCTCCAGGAATAAGGTTGCTCTCAAGTTAGACTGTCTGCAGACAACTCAGACCACCCACTTTCAGCTTAAACACAGTCTGTAGTGATTCAGATCAGAGCAGTAGCCGTCTTCTCAAACTGTGAGATCTTGGCATTCATCAGGCATGTCCAGAGTACATCTGATAACACAGCTTAAACTGCCCAGGGCCGTTTGAAGGCAGGTGAGGGAAAGCTAAGAAATATCAAAGATGGAAACAGCCTAATCTTCAACTCGGCACATTACACATTCTGAATTTCACACGCATTCCACAAAATTCCTCAAGTCCCAAAAGCTTTAATCCAGTCACTTTGCAACATATGCGTGTTTTATTTAAAAATAAATTATTCAGTATTACTTTTCCTTTCTTGTATCCAGCTGGCAACATTTTCGGTTAGCTCTACAGGAGCCAACATAACCTCCTATTAGTTACGGTATTGTCCATTTGTCTACATCTTCTACTAATTTTCTGCACAACCTTTGGACAATGCATGGTTGACTTTTTTAGGTAGTTAACCCAGTGCTCTAGGGATTTCAAATTGACACTACCAAGACTCTGGCCATGCATCTCCTAAACTCTTTTTGCCAATGACGCCTGGAGATGTGCACATCACCTAGACTGATCCAGTTGCCTACTCCTGCTAAGAGCTACAACTCAGCAGCTGATTTCAGGGAACTGACTGTGGGGGGAACCTCAGCTGCAAAGATAAAGCACTAAATTGATGTGTAAGAGACACCACAAAGGGAAACAGGCACTACAGCAGACAGCATGATAGAAACTACAGCACTGAGGCTGGCAGCTGTCAGAAAACCCCTGGCAAGGAGAACTGAGAAATGATTGATGAGGAATAGAGAATAAGCCAGAAATCTGTGCTAGACAACTACATAAGGCTGTGACAGACCTCCACCTGGAATATTTTATTTGTTTGCTTTTCACCATCTCAGCAAGACAGCCGTGAACCAGATATGGCGCAGAGGAGGGTGACCAACAGGTTCAGGAGTACAGAAGCTGCTCAGTACCAGGAGATGGAGACATGGACATGTAGAAAAGGAGTGAAACCAAAGTTCATGAAGAGTGGTGAATGGGTAGATTTTACTCACTATCTCATGTATTGCAAAAGCTGAGGGTCAGCCTGGGAAATTATCAGTGGCATATAAAACCAGCAGCACCAAATAGTCGCCAAGAAAAAGAGTTGCTTCATCACGCATTGTGGGTTTAACCACAGTGCTTCTCACCCTAGGTCACAGCAATGGCTGGAAGTTTCCTTTGCTTAAGCAAAGTTTAAGCAATATTCATAGGAGGGAAGTCCCTCAAGTTCTGTTAAAGACAAAGATACCAATGTTGACCTGTGAACCCCTCTGAATTGCAGAGCAGTGGAAAAGTCTGTTGGAGACTTATCACTACTTGCAGGTTTTGTCCTGCAAGTTTTCCCCAGACATCTGCTGCTGGCTTTGGTTGGAGGTAAATCAAGGTGTACATTTTTGTGCTTTTTACCCAGACTGATACAGCTGTTACATCTCCCTGCAGCTGTGGTCCATACCTCCCCAGATAAGAGGTTGTTTCTGCACCCACTTCACTCAAGA